TTTTTTGTGCTGAAATGTTTCGCCTTCGATCCGGAAGGCTTCATCAGTCAAGGAAACACACAACAAAACTGATTCTTCCCTCAACAGCTTACTCCAAAGTGGAACAAACCAGTTCTGCTTGTGATTTTGGATTATATACCTGGATTATTGAGCATGGAATTCATTGTTTTCAACCAGTTTGACAAGACTGCCAACAAGGAAGAGGGCCAGCAATGGAGGAGGGGGCGTACCAAAGAGACCATCTTAATACCAACCAAACTGGTTTGTTCCACTTTGGAGTAAGCTGTTGGGGGAATAATCAGTTTTGCGTTGTGCGTTTCCCTGACTGATGAAGCATTCCGGATCGAAGGCAAAACGTTTCAGCACAAAAAAAGAAACTGTCCAGATGACCTGACTGAAAAATGTTGTATTACATAAAATATATTTTGTTAGCAACAAATAGAGTCCTAACGTATATTAAAAATTACTGTACTTCTGTATTTACAAAAAAAAAAAAAAAAAATGGTGCTATTCATGGATAAAACTAACAAAAATGTCTTAACGTGAAAGAGGAAAAGAATGGCAGGTATCATCTCACTTTGAGTTTATACTCTTTGTCGCATGCGTGCTAAATGGTAAAAGAACTGTACTTATATAACACCTTTCTATCTTATCTCAAGATACTCAAAGCACTTTACACTACAATCTGTGTCCTCATTTACCCATTCATACAGCACTCTACTAGATCTATACAAAGTTAATTGAACAAATCATTCTAAAGAGACTAATCAGAGCTTTAGATCACATTCATACCCCGATGGGACACACATCAGAGGCTATGAGGAGTTCAGTGTCTTGCCCAGGGACACTTCAACATTTGACTGCTGGTGGATTCGAACCCCCAACTCTCGTATTGGAGGACGACTGCTCTAAGCACTGAGCCACAGCCGCCTGTGGGTTACAAGTGTCCAGAGCATCATAAAAACAGCTGAGGAGATGTTGGAGTCATTTATCGTCTCAGCAGCAGAGGGGGGCGACACGGTTCTTGCATGGCTCTGCGAATGACAAGGCAGTCATATTTGTTCATAACTTTATTATTAGTAAGCCTGAGAGTTGCCGGATCCGAGCAAACTGTTGCTGGAACCCACCCAGTCAAAATAAAAGAGAGTTCCCAGATTTTGTTCCAGCAGGATCCGGTTCAAATGAAGCCCTGGACTGGTTGCTCTGGTTCCATTCAGCTTGAACATTCATTATGGACACTGTCTGTTGTTCAGCCCTTTGTGTTTGAACCAGAGAATGTTGACAGAGAGGAGAATGTAGAAATGATTGAGGCTAAACCTAAAAATTAGGAAGACAGATCAGGTGAAGAGAGGTAGTTTACAAGACCTTTATTTAAAAGGTTTCTATCAATCGTGTTAGACAACACTAACGTCTGTTTTACTAATTTTTTATAAATATTTCAGAATTATTGGATGTGTGTCTACAAATTACATCTGAAGCCCACCCTATTGAATTTGGCCACTACGGTCAACTGATCATAGAAAACATAAAAATGGCTATCATTTAAGCAACTTTCACAAAGCATTTGTTTTATCAGTGCTTTATTTATTTTTTTGTGGTTTATTTTAGTCATTTTATCATTCTTAATCTCACTGGATTAAAATTTATAATCTTATTACTCTTTTCATGGTTTTGTTTTATTTTTGTCCTTTGGGCTCTGTTGTGTTTGTCTGTTCAGTTTAGATCTTTTGTGTTTTTGTATTTCAGTGTCTGGGTTTTATTTGCTTATTCTGGATTATTCTGGATTTGTTTCCCAGTGTTTCTTGTGCCATCTTCCATTGGCCACCAGTAAGCCTCCTCAGTGTTTTCCCAGTCAGCATGCCAACCTCACCTGTCCCCAATCAGCATTCAGCCAGGGTGTTCCCACTTTCCTCTCTCACTCTGTTTATTCAAACATCAACTTGTCACCACCTAACCAGTGGCTAATTGTATTGTTTTTTTCCCATCTGTCTCTGTCCCCATCATGTTGTCCTCGTGCTTCTCCATTTTTTTATACTTTTAATGCAAGTTTTGCTGCCACTAAAATAAAAAAAATAAAAATAATTAAACAGTCGTTGCTATACTTACCTTACAACAAAGGAGGTTTGAAGTGTTCAAATATGAAGTGGTACTACTGGGCTGCACAACTAATAACAATTAAATTCCAGTATGGGACAGGAATTGTCCCACAGGGGCAGAAAATGGAATCTGATGGCATAAAATCGCCTTTCCCATTGTATTTAAACTATGATAAAGAATTAAAATCAGTCACTCAAACAAAGAGTTCAATTGTAAGTTTTGCTGCCACATTGATTTTTTTGTTTTGTTAATTGAATAAATATGTTTTTATTTTTACTTGAGCTTCCATGTCTGTCTGCATCTGGGTCCAACTTTTTACTCACCACGGCAGTATTGTGGTCAAAATTGGTGTCAAATTAACATAATAATTCAATTCAATTCAGTATTTATATAGCATTAAGTCACAACAGAAATTATCTCAGGGCACTGAACAGAAACATTCATATATATATATATATATATATAAATAATAATAATAATAATTTAACACTATTTATTTGAGGAGCAGACTGCTTTGAATTTAACTCCATCACAGAACTCTCATCTTGAGCAAGCACAAAGGCAAAGAGTGGAAAGGAAAAACTCCCTCATGAGGAAGAAACCTTTAGCAGAACCAGGCTCAAGACAAGCAGTTTCTACTTTGACTGGCTGGGTTTGAGAACAGATACACAATGGCAGGTCAAGAATCACGTTAAGATAGAAATAATATCAAATGAAAACTATTCAATTTTAACAGTTCATATAAGGAAATTTGGCCTCCAGTAGTCTTAGCCGATAGCAGCATAACAAGCCAACCCTAACTATAGGATTTATCAAGAAATTCTTAAGCCCAGTTTTAAAACTGGACAATGTCTCAGCCATATGGACAGAAACTGGAAGTTGGTTCCACAAGAGAGGAGCCTGATAACTGAAAGATCTTCCTCCCATTCTACTTTCAGAAACTCTAGGTAAGCCTGCAGTCTGAGAGCGACGTGTTCTGTTAGGAAAATATGTAACAATAAGCTCTTGAATATAAGATGGAGCTAGGTTGTTGAGAGCTTTGTAGGTTAGGTTTTGTAGGTTACTAAGATTTTGAATTAAATTCTGAATTTGACAGGGAGCCAATGGAGAGAAGCTAAAATTGGAGCGATATGATCTCTCCTACTAACTTCAGTTAAGACTCTGGTAGCAGCATTTTGGATCAAATGAAGACATTTTAAAGAAGTATTTGGACACCCAGATAATAAACCATTGCAATAAATGGTCTAAGTCTAGACGTGACAAATGCATGAACCATTTTTTCTGCATCATTTTTAGATAAGATGTTTCTAATTTTAGAGATATTACGCAGGTGGAAGAAGGCGGTTCTAGTAAAGTTTTTAATGTGGGGGATAAAAGACATGTCCTGATCAAAAATAACACCAAGGTTTTTAACATTAGAGTTGGAGGCCAGATTAATGTCATCCAAGGAGGGCGAAAGACTGAAAAATTCAGAATACATGTTCTAACTGATATTAATTGACTCTCATATTTGCCAGAAATAGTTATGATCAAGTTCTTTGTCATCTGCCTCCATGTCATGTTTCTGCAATTGTCACTCTGCCATGCCCCTTCTGCACTTTCTGCTCATCAGCACTTATTCACTGCACCTGTTCCTGGCCTTATTTAAGGACTCCTCTCACCTTCCCAACCTGCCAGATTATCAGACCTTTCATAGTTCCTGTTATCCAGCCATCTAGGATCTTGTTTGCACCTGTTACATGGCTCGGTCTTCAGACTTGGACCTCACAACTGCCTTGTGGATTCACCTTTCTGTAGTGATGGGTCTGGCCGCACCGATACGTCAGTGCATGTGTCAAGCTCATAGGGCAAAACCTGTCGGTGTGCATATCGCTATTAGAAAGTCACGACTGACACAGGAGCTGTTTTGAACTGACACTGACGCTCCAAACTGTTTATAAAGAAGCATATCTGTCAACGGGATGCATCTGTCAAAAATAATCTTTGATCTTTTGCCAGTGTGAAAAAATTAATAAACTAACATGTATTGTTTAAATATTATTTAATCCATGCTCATTCTGCAGACTTTCAAAGTTGGTGTGTGTATGTGAACTCTGGTAAACTCTTGTAAATGTGAACTTTTGTCCTGCTCCTGCAAACGTCCTTGTATTCCACCACCCGCAGAAGAGGCAAAGATACAGAACTTTACGCTTTTCGTATCAAAATGTTTTTCTTTTTCAGAATGTTCTAGCTCATGAAAAAAGACTGTTACAAATCTAATTAAAAAATACCAGATCCACAATGTTTTTCAGAATGTTCTAGTCACATGGATAGAAGACTTGTTACAGAACACGGCTTCAACAAGAAGAATAACATCATCTCGTACTGATAACAAGAACTTGTGTATAGTGTCAACCTGAGGAACTTATCCTCCCCATTATGATAGAATTTTATTGTGACGCACGAAACATGTATAAATAATATGTACTGTCTCTTTAAGAACCCAGTGCGCTGTGTTGTGTTCTGACTTCACGCAGACAGCAACTCCTTTCTGCAGAAAGAATAAACCTCGCGCTCCGTTTTGAGCTAAAAGAGAAATGTCTCTGGTTTTCTTTTAAGAGTTTTTTAAGTTTAGAACAATTATTTATTTTCCACAAAAGTTTGGAGGCACCGCCGGGATACGCCTGAGAGTTCGTCCGGCCTACGGAGAATCGGACGAGGCTGATCACCGGACCTCCGACCCTCCAACTAGGACGTTTTGGGAGCGGGAGGACGTCTGGTTCTCCGGAGGGGGGATCGACTCCAGCCGTATTCGAAAACAGGAAACCAGAGACACATCTACGATAAGGTAAATAAATAAATAAAATAAAAATAAAAATAAAAAAAGCGCTAGCGACAGACACGACTCCGTCAAAAAGATCGCTCTCTCATAAAATAAGTAAGCTTTCATTAGGAAAAGCCGAGGTAAGTTCTCATTAGGAGGACCGAGTGTAAGTTCTGAAAATTAGAGTAGGAACCGAGGTAAGTTTTCTTTAGGAAAACCGAGGTAAGTTTTCTTTAGGAAAACCGAGGTAAGTTTTCTCTAGGAAAACCGAGTGTAGGCTCGTCTTGATAAAGAGGGCTGAGGAAATAAAATAGTTTCGTCTTAAAGATAAAAATGGGAGCGACAAAAAGTAAGAATCTAGATTACATACCAAACGGTTCGGTTGCAGAAAAAATGAAACGTTTATACGGAGTTTCCTGTCTAAGTTTCGTTTCTCAGTGGCATTACAAATTTGGTTTTCCTAAAAATGGATCTTTACAAACCGAAGACATTCAAAAACTCGAAGAACAATTATTGCAGCAAAAGCAGAGCATGATTCAGATGAAGAATATACCTCAAAAGGTTTACTTAACGATGCACAAGCATGAGGAAGCTTTTAAAATGTGGAAAAATGAGTCTAAAAATATGATGGGTGAAACGGAGTCCAGATTATTACAGATGTCTCAAAAAGTTGAAGATTTACAGAAACAATGCAGAGAACAAGAGACTCAAAAAGACAAAGACGAGAAAAAAACAAAAAAAACAGAACTGAAAACCTCTCTTTTTCCTCTGTCCTCTCTCACACATGCACCGGAGACCCACGGACCTCTTCCTCCCACCGCACCCTCCACCTCGATCTACCCCTCGCTGGCTGAACTCAAAGACCCACCACCCTATGGCCCGCCACAGATGGAGGCGCATGAGACTCGCCCTGGACTGAAACCTGCTTGGATCCTCACTTCAGACGATGATTTTATTGGGCCAAAGCCAGCTGCCCCTCAACAACAGGATGAACAAGGAGCAGCAGGAGGAAGAGATGTTACAACCAGACCACCACCATCCCCTGCTATCAGCTCATCAACATCAACATCTTCAAACTCTTCACCATCACTTTCATCATCTTCTGCAGGTTCTTCAATCATAACTCGATCCAAAGCTGCAGAGCAAGAGGAGCAGATTAAAGCTTTCAGAGAAAAAGAAAAACTGCTGGAGGCTGAAATACAGAGACTACAACAGTCACAGCACAACAACGGTTCTATAAGCTCCCCCATGACTTCAGATGGTGAACACAACTCCACGACCATGCCGATGCTGGAGGTGGGTGGACCGGACGGACCACAACTGGTGTTCAGAACTTGGCCACTGAGCGACCTGACAAGCCTGGCAAAACAACACCTCCCAGACATGGCCCAAGGAGGGGATGCCATAGGTGAAGCCATCACCAACATGGTTCGTATTCTCCGCCCCACCATACCAGAACTAAAAATGATTCTCACAGCTGTCTATGGTATGAACTTTGTAAGCACCATAGGCGCACAGCTGTTTGAGGTCCCGCCTGGCAACCAACGGCTGATGCGTGTCGAATACGCCCACGCAGATAACCAAGACTTTGTGACAGCTGTGGGTGACATTGTCAGGAGAGTTAAGACAGCATTTCCACAGACGCCTCAATATGCAAGGATCAAGGACACGGTCCAGAAGAGTGGTGAACCCCCTCAAGAGTACATTGATCGTCTCATCCCTGTGTTTCGCACACACTCTGGCATCGCTTTCCCGGACAACGACTGGCGTGATGCTGCACAGGCTTCAGCCTTCGAAACCATCCTGTGTCAATGTGTGATGGATGGATTCTTGCCAACAATCCGCAAGTCTGTTCAGAACACATACATAGGCTGGAAAGCTGGCATTCGTCTCAATGACCTCCTACGTCATGCCAGACACGCCTGGGAACAGCACACAGCCGAAGAAACTGCAACATTGAAGATAAAGACAAAACAAGCAGAAAATGCTCAGCTGACTCTTCTTCAAGCTGCACAACAGATGACCTTGAACACTGCCCCACCACAACAGCTTCCAGCTTTTTCACGCCCACCACCACCCCCTGGCCCTTGGCCAGGCTCACAACAGCAACAACCACGTGGGTACGCAGGAGGGCCACAGCCATGCTTCCTGTGTGGAGGGACTGACCATTGGATGAGAGACTGTCCACAAAAACGCACCACATGGCGAGGGCGTGGCCGACCATTCCAGAATCGAGCACCAATGCCACCACGAGAGCCATGGCCCATGAACCATGAACAGAACTTTCACCCAGGCTCCCAACAATCGGTTGGTCGAAGCCAGGGTCCACCCAGGGGTCGTGGCCACCGAGGCGGGCACTCATCCTGACTAGAAGGGGGCGGTGAGGAAGGTCCGGGTCTCCAAACAGCAAGTACACGCACACACACACCAGCTGTTTCACCTACTGATACCACATGCACCTCCACGTATTTTAAATACACCCAGTCAGCATGTTTGAAGTTACCCATGCTCACAATGCTTGTAAACAATGTTCCACTAAAGTTCTTAGTGGACTCAGGGGCCACTCAATCTTTGATAATGAAGAAATGTCTCCCACATGCTCCACTGTGTGGCAAGATTATCCACTCCACAGGAGCATCTGGTGTAGCAATCCCAGAGGTAATGACAACTCCTCTGAATGTGATTGACCCTTTTGATCACACTGCCCACTTGCATCAGTTTCTACTCTCACAGACGTGTCCAATAAATCTTCTGGCCAGAGATCTAATTCTTAAATTCAACCTGTCCATCGATTGTAGCCCTGAAGGACTAGTGGTGTCAAAGTCTACACACTCAGTGGACACTTTGGTGACACTAGTGCCTGATCTGCTGTTTGTATTTGAATGGTCCCTCACTGATGAGAGTCAGCGTGTAGCCTTGCTCTCTATGGCCAAAGATAGACTTCCACCTTCATGCACATTCATGCATGAACAACAGCTGCATTGCACTGCTCGTGTTACTTCAGACCCAGCTGATCAGCTAGGAGATTCATTCATGCAAACACCACCAACTGACTTACATACTACAGATATCTGTTGGACAAAGACCACATGTTTCCTGTTGACATGCCTCAAAGATGATGTCACACCACAAACATGCTATTTCACAGTACCTGACTCATTTCCTCATGTTTCTCTTGCTAAACCTCCTGAAGCTCAGTGGCGCTCTCTAGGCCCTCTAGCACTGAGAGCCCATTGTGCATCTGACTGGCAACCACTTGACACTTGTTTTTACTCTCCTGCTCTGGAGATGTACAGACAACCACTTATTTCATCACTTCCGGTCACCCCATTCAAAGAAGTGATTGACACCTCTGCATGACTAACACTGCCTACGATGACTTCAGACAACCCAGACCTCTCTGCTGTTCCACCCACATTGTGGGCCCAGACAAAGTATGATGTAGGTCTGATAAAAGGTCAGGAGCCCATCCAAATTACTCCTAAATCTTCTTATCGACCAAAAATACCACAGTATCCACTGAAACCTGAGGCAGCCTCAGGCATTACACCTGTTTTTCACTCTCTTCTGGAAGCAGGTGTAATCGTTCCTTGTCCCACTTCACCTGTGAGAACTCCAATTTTTCCAGTGAAAAAGATCCGCCCCACTCCTCCTGATGAGTGGCGGTTTGTTCAGGATCTTAGAGCTGTAAATGCTGCAGTTCAAGCTCGTGCACCGATCGTCCCTAATCCTTATGTGATCTTGTCTCAAATACCAACTGGCTCCACCCACTTTTCAGTCATAGACCTGGCCAACGCCTTTTTTAGTGTCATTGTGCATCCAGACAGCCAGTACTGGTTTGCATTTGAGTTTTTAGGAAAGTCTTACACCTTTACTCGCCTTTGCCAGGGCTATTGTGAGTCTCCAACTATTTTCCACCAGGCTTTGAGAGATAGTCTGGCAGGATTCAGTCTTCCACCTGATTGTGCACTTCTTCAGTATGTTGATGATCTTCTTTTGGCTGCTCCTGATGCACAAACATGCAAAACACACACAATCCGCCTCCTGCAGTATCTAGCTGCAGAAGGACACAAGGCCTCGTTGTCTAAACTACAGTTTGTGTTGCCACTGGTTACATTTCTGGGTCACAGAATCTCTGCAGAAGGAAGAGAGCTGGCTCCTGCGCGTGTTACAGCCATTGTTGCTCTTCCTCTTCCTGAAACAAAAAAGCAGCTCATGTCATTCCTAGGGTTATGCAGTTATTGTCGACATTTCATTCCAAACTACGCAGAACTTGAAACACCACTCCGCGCTGTTTGTCATGAAAAAGGCCTTCAAATGAGCTCTAAATTGTCTTGGACACCACCTGCACTGTCAGCATTTGAGACTCTCAAATTACAGCTGCAGAAAGCCCCCACCTTAGGAATTCCTGATCCAACCCGCCCATTTGTGCAGGCGGTGGATGAAAGGGAGGGATGCATGACATCAGTTTTGTTGCAAAGGCATGGTGACCTCATGAAACCTGTGGCCTACTTTTCATCAAAACTTGATCCAGTTGCTGCAGGACTCCCACTTTGCTTGCGCGCTGTTGCAGCAGCAGAAAAATCTGTATTGGCCAGTAGAGACATTGTGGGGTACTCTGATTTGACCTTGCTTGTACCACACGCTGTCACTCACATTCTAAACGAGCAAAAAACTGCTCACTTGTCTACAGCGCGTTGGTTAAGGTACCACACCACTCTTCTTGACATGCCAAATATCACCATCCAACGTTGCAACGTTTTAAATCCAGCTACACTCTTACCTTCACCTGTCGAAGGCACACCACATGACTGTTTAGCTGAACTTGAAGTGCTTTGCACACCTAGACCTGACTTACAACAAGAACCTCTTGAACACCCAGACTGGGAACTCTTTGTAGATGGCTCATCTTCACGTGATCCTAACACTGGCTCTATTCACAGCGGTTATGCAGTTGTAACTTCCTCCTCCACCATTGAGGCTCGTTCATTGCCTCCTTGTTCAGCTCAGGCCTGTGAACTCATAGCCTTGACCAGAGCTTGCCAACTCTCTGAAAACAAATCTGTCAACATCTTCACTGACTCTCGCTATGCTTTTGGTGTTGTACATGATTTTGGAGCTTTGTGGAAACATCGTCACTTCCTTCGTTCAGATGGACAGCCCATCTTGAACCACAAACTTGTTGCTAATCTTTTAGAAGCAATCACACTTCCCAAACACATTGCTGTAGTAAAATGTGCAGCCCATACCCGAAACACTGACCATGTCTCTAGGGGCAACGCAGCTGCTGACATAGCAGCTAAATCTGCTGCTACCACACCTCCTGAAAGGATCCACCCACTTCCTCTTATGATCTGCTCATCATCTCAGACTACAGCCTCACCTGACTCATTCACCATCACAGACATGCAAAAACTCTCAACACCTTCTGAGCGAGCAGAATGGAAACGCCTTGGAAGCACATTTACTGATGATATTTGGCTAGGTCCAAACAACAACCCCTGCCTACCTCGACATTTCTTTCATTCTTTTGCTGTTTTAACGCATGGTGGAGACCATGTGTCAAAGGGGGGAATGT